TGCAGCTAGTGGCCATTAGAGGAACTGCACCTTTGGTGTTTCCACTTTTGCCTCGCAGGTTTCTACTTTTATGTTTTTTGTTAAGTTTTTTTATGATACTGACTAAACAATGTGATCACTCATAATGTGCAGTTTATCAAAAACACAGAAGATGGCTTCAAACGAGACAAATCCTCACTGCTTCTTTAAAACCGTGTTGTGACAAAACAAACAGCAATCGGGACAGTACAAGGGAAACCAGACAAGTGTTTAAGAAAAACACAGCCAAATGAAAACAGAACTCGCTGGACATTTGAGGCATGTGAAGATAAAAAGCCCACACTTGGCCGTTATGTCTCGAACAAAGAAAGTCAGTTGAGAAAGTGAAATGGGAACAGCAAAACAAAGAAGGAGAAGTGTAAAAAGATGCTTTGTGGAGTGTCTTGAACTGAGTTGCATCACCTTTCAGTTCTGAAAGAGAAAGTAGAGAGCTGCCAAGTTTTTTTTTCTTTCTCTGCTTCAGTTTTCTTTTTTTAAACTGAGGTAATTTCAGAAACAAATGCTGTGTTAACACCATATGTCAAGGAAAAAAAGAGAAAGTCTTCCAAAACCCCAGAAGATACTTCATGTATGACATATAGAAATGGATTACTTAAACGTCTGTTTCACTTTATAATCCAGGTGTTTTGTTTGTAGTGTATCTACTTTCAAATTTCTACACACTTAAATGACTTGTGAAAATTCCTTTTGAACTTTCATCACATGTGACGTTTTGTATGTGCCTCTCATCATGGTTATACTTCAGTTGCTGAACTTTTGCTCGTGCTGTAAAGATAAAGAAGTAAAATAACACTTCAGCGCGCCACCTATATTTAGCATTTATGGATTTATAGCAGACTGTAAAAGAGTTCCAGCCAGGTGTAAATATTGTAGGATGATGTAATAGAAAATGAACTGATAATGTGCTAAAAATATATCACATTTCTTCATAGGAAACATTGCTGTGGTGGACAATGAGTTCTCTGCATGGCAACATTTTTGCTGCAAGGTGCTCAAAATGCCAATTAAACCTTTTTAATTGGCATTTTTAAGTAGCAATTATGTACTTTCTGTATCCAACAACCAGAACAGATGTAGTCAGCTAGCATCAGCTGGGCGAGAATGGTTCAGTGTTTACGTCCTGTCACACAAGAACAAGCCTCTTATCGTGTGTAGACAGACCGTGTCCTCTACACACTCGTGGCTTTTGTGCATGTTTTTTGGTACAGCAAGAATAACATGCAACTTCTGTGGCACAAAAATGACTCCAAAAGAGGATGTCCGCAAAACTGTAGTTTCTCTAATGGCCACTAGAGACTCCCAGGTAGTTTAGTAAGCAAGCGGTTTAGTTTAAACTCGGATGTTAGCACACTGCCCTCTGGGCAAATAATGGCCACTTATGGCTTGAAAAAAACCTACATGGCAAAAACGAGACCTTGTGGTAGTTGTGGCCATCTTTTATATACAGTCTATGGGTAAAATGAATACAACAACATGAATGTACTTTTTTTGAGTGAAAGGCTCCCTGTTTCTCAAAAGAGCTTTGAGCAAAATAACACTTCTGTGAAATACACGGTAAAGGCAAGCTAGACGTGAGCAACAAAAACACTCTAGTTACTAGAACTGCACTACATGCTAGAGAAAAATGTGTAGATTTGATTTGGAGATAAGCTATTATGTCAGTGTACTGTGAAGACTTTACTAATAATTTATACGAGTCACGGTGGGGTGGGGGTTGTTTATTTATAATGTCCCTTTTCTGACCTCAAAATGTTGGTGAGCTGTACGAGTTAACCTCAGACACAGTGTGGTGCAACTGTGTGTCTGTCTCTCATCGTGTGTGTGCCTGAATATCTGTGTATATAATTTTTTTAGAAAACCAAAAGTCGCCATCAACCACTTTCCCATCCTGAAACCATAACTCCTGCGGTGACACTCCGCTAAATGTTCTGTAACTTTTCCTTCCCTCTCACTCTCCTTTCTCCATGACCCCGGTTGCGCTGCTGCCACCGCTGTTGCTGCTGCGCTGTCTCCACTTACACGGTGACATCACTGGAGTTTCCCCTGCAGCTGCATAAATACTACAGACTCTCCAGCAGAAGTTCACTCTTAACACAAACAGCACACTCAAAGAGAGAAGTGTCAGCACAGAAGACACAGACAACTGTTCGGTTTCTGGATTTCTTTAAAGATCAGACGGCAGAGGCTTTGTGCACAGCATGGTTGCATACACAACCACACCAGTTGATGTCGAGGCCGGTCCTGAGGCGAAGACTGTAGTTTTAGTTGAGAAGAAATCACCTGCAGAGTGGATATGGAAGGTGTGCGCCGTCCTCGTCGTCGTGGCTCTTTGTTTAGCAGGTGTCCTGCTGTTTGCCTGGTACTGGAATACGAGGCCAGAAAGGATGGTAAGGAGCATCTCATCTTTTCGAGTATGATGAAAAGTCTTTCAAAACCTTCTGTGTGTGTGTCTATATATGTATCTAAGGATTCTTTTTTCCTCCATGCAGACACAAGTAGGACAGCCAGAAGCACTAAAGGCGAAGAACACTGGCGAAAAACCAGGTGATTATATACATGGGTGCTTATGAGAGGTTTTGAGAGCTACATTTGAGTCTTTGTGGATTATTTGAGACAAGCTCACATTTTTCTTCCTTCCTTCAGAGCCCCACTCCACGATAAAATGGATCAGCAGCAAAGCCAAGGCAGCCATCCACCTAGAAGGTGAGTCACCGCTTACCTTGATTTGGTCCTCAGCAAACAATAGGCTCATAATCTCAGCCTTCAAAGGAGCTTTTCTGAGTTTTTCTTCTCCCTCTGTGGTATTGGTAGCTCTCTTCTTTTTGGAAACCAAGAGCACAATAAGGAAGTCCCATAAGTCATTCATTAGCTTCAGTCAATACTTCATTCTGCTCTCCAAATAACAAACCTGTCAGTAATTCACACTCCGGTATTTCAAGGCTGTAACGTTTCTGATCTTTACTTGCAGGCAGCGACTCAAAAGGTCATCTGGAGTGGAGGAATGGTCAAGGCCAGGCGTTCGCTCAGGGCGGCTTCAAGTTGGAGGCCAACAAAATCATCATCCCACACACCGGCCTGTACTTTGTCTACAGCCAGGCATCCTTCAGGGTGATCTGTGGGAATAGCGACGACAATGAAGATGAGGAAAAAAGCCTCACAATTCTCAGCCACAGGATCTGGCGCTACTCAGAGTCTGTGGGAAGCCCCTCCACTCTGATGAGCGCCCTGAGGTCGGCATGCCAAGACACCATTCAGGATAGCTTCTCAGACCACGGCTGGTACAACGCCATTTACCTGGGCGCTGTGTTTCAGCTGAACGAAGGAGACACGCTGTGGACAGAAACCAACCAGCTATCAGAGCTGGAGACTGACGAAGGAAGGACCTTCTTTGGCGTGTTTGCACTTTGAAACGACTCTCCGCTTTGAGCAGAAAAGCTGCATGGAGCTTAAAAACTATGTGAACATATAGTTTTTTATTTCATCCACATGGTGATGTTTAAATATTGAAATCTCAATGGAGATGAAATTCCCAGCTGAAAACGTTAGGCTGGTTTTTTAAAACTATATAAACTGTAACAGTTTGCGACATTGTTTCTACTTTAGGCACTTTTGACATATTATTTATACTGACCTGAGATTGTATGAGGCTAGATTTCCTCTGCTGTATCAGATGATGACAAGGCTCTTTGGCTCAAGAGTTCAGATACAGAGGTGCTGTCATAGCTTGTATGTATTTATTTGTATTTATTTGTATTTAAATCACTGGGACCGGGGCTTTAAAGGTATTTATATAAGTTTATATAACTTTAAAAATTTATATAAGTTGTGAAAAGAATAAAAATGCAGAAAACTACAGAGAATGGTCTCCTGTAATAGTTAGAAGTCTGTCCAGCCGGCGCTGCAGCCCACACACACACACGCACGCACGCACACACACACACACACACACACACACGCACGCACACACACACGCACTCTCTAACCCCCCTGACCCCCTCAGTCAGCTGGTTTACTTGTGGGGACCAACGTGTCCGTCCCCACAAGTCTGAAGGCATGTCTGAGACAAAGTCTCACCCAAGTTACAGTTGGGTGAGGGTGAGAGGGAGCATTATGTCA